TTTACAAAGTAAAATAGCAAGCCATTCTTACAGTGAAACGCAAGAGCATCTCGGGCAACAGTAAGAAAAGGACAACCAATTTGTGTTGATTTGTTAAGGCACACCCTGACTGAACTGTAGTTTATCCATTTCTGCATGATACTCATTCTGAATTTCACTTTTACTCTTGGGAGGATGTTGGTAAATAGAATTAATATTTGCCTTATACAGTTGAGCTAATGATTTGCATCACATACGTCATCGTCTGGTTCAGTCTCTTTCTAATTAAGGTGTTTTCCAGAGAGACTGCACAAATTTTTAACATATCCATTTAAAGAAATCTTTTTGTGATTTTTTCACTCACTTCATTCTTCACATAATGTACTGATCAAACCCACTTTTTTTAGCACATGGCATTTTTATGTGATAGGGATTGCTAAATTATGATTCATAATTTTTTTTTTTTGCTTCTTCCTCTAAGATCTTAAGTGTGTGCAAGCACTCATATAATGGTCACGCAAATGAAAAAAACCCCTGCATTTTCATTGCATGCTACTTTGAAGCTAATTTCCTGTGTGAACGTCTCCTCATGAAGGCCAGATGCAAAAACATGCTTTTCATTTTCATTCACTGAAATATGTGTGGGTAACTATCTTTCAATATTTTTTTTTCAATTCTGTTTTTTTTGTTTTTTTTTTTTTCAATTCTGGTTTTTCAGTTCTGCAATTTTCAATCTGCATCACAGATTATTCACTTACTTACAAAATTGCATCCTTTGGTTTGATTGTGCACTGTAGTTTTATCCCTATATGATGCCGTGCTGTCCAACGCAGAACTGGTTCATGGGAGAGGCTTTTTTTCCCCCCACTTCTATCAGTTAGACCACTGGTGGATGCAAGGCAAAGCCAGGACACTGCCCTTCTCTGCTTTCATGCAAGTCCTTCTACGCTCACCTTGTCCTATGTTAATAAACGATTTGTTTGTTTTTTCCCCTTTTCAGCTCAGATCCTGAATTAATATTGCAATCTGTGCTCTTTTCTGTCTCCCCAAAAGTATTTTTTTTATAAAACTATATTGAGGTTAGTAGTCAGTACTTGATTTAATGAACATGGATGAATAACACTAAAATTAAAATCATGTCATTGTTTTATTTGAAAGCTTGTCATTTATCTCAAAACTATTTCTTACAGTTTATGAATCCAAATGAGAATGAAACGCCAGATCTGAGAGTGCAGTGTTATTTGCTGTTTGGAGTTCTGTCTCATGACAACACATGCTCCTCCTTTTTTGCTTTGTCTAAATGCAAATTCTAGTACAAACAAATAATTCTAATGGAAAAGGAAAATCTGCGGCTTTTTTTTTTAAGTGAAGATTTTCATAATTTGGGGTGGGGCAAATGTACTATCAGGCTAGATTTTCAAATATAGTCTACTGTTGGTTAAGGTAATTACCAACTGGGATTTTTAAAGTTGCCTAAATTTCTTTTTGTATTGAAATTAATGTATTTTTGAGTGACAGTCTTTGAAACTCCATCCCTGTATAGCTGCACTTAAGGTTCTTGATTTATTTACCCTGTAGTACTGCTATCATTGTTTTTAACTTTTTTACATCCTACTAAGGACATAATCATATTGTCGTATCAGTGAATATTTTCTAGGGAGGTCAGTTTATCTCATTTTCCTCGTTCAGGCTTTCTTGCGGGGAACCATGAATTGTTTTACAGGGCTCTCAGGAGTCTGTGGAGAAAGCAGGTTAGAGTTTGCTTCAAGGTTCCCGTCCTGCTGAGAGGGGAATTTTTGTCAGACTGTTACTTAGTGATTCAAAGATGTAGAAGCGAGCAGAGGGGAGGACATTTGATCCCCTGATGACATGTTTGAGGATAACCATTGCCTCTATGAACAGCTCAATTACCCCTTCATCTCCACAAGGACAGACTAGAAGGAGTGCTGGTTCAGTGAGTTCAAAGCTCCACATGCTAATGACCAGCTGCAGAGCGAATACAAAGGGTATTAGAAATGGTTGTCCTTACAACTCCCCAGGGCAGAAGAAAGCACTGGAAAGAGAACACATTTTATTTTTACTTTGCTGCACAGGTCCGCAGATCTCTCTCTGTAGGTTGGCAGGCTTCAGAAGATAGCCCCTTGCCCACTCCTCTGCAAGGATCAAAGTCTGGCCTGGCCCTGGTGGCAGGAGCTGCCGCGCTGCATGAACTTCACTTCCTACCACACTTCAGTGGGCAGCACTTCTCATGTGCTTACGGTCAGAGGAAGACCCGTGCTTACCCTGAGCTTAACTGCAAGTGTGCAGCCAAGTGCCCTGGAACTCAGTTGCTCTCCTGAACTAAATTTGTACAGTCAGTAGCAAAACTACATAATTTCTTTGATATCTGCACTCACAAGAGAAAACATTAGGGAGCGGGTGAGCCTCAGCTGAGGTCTGCCATTTGCTGAATAGTTAAAGGCTAAGGATAAGATATGGTGGGGTTTTGTGGTGGAGATGGTATTTTGGGATTTGATTTGGATTTATTCTAGAGGTAGTGCTTTAAATGTAATGTTAAAGCTCAGAAAAGCATCGTTGAGAAGCAGGGAATTCTGTGCCAATTCCTTTCATGAACCCAGCTGCAGTATCTGCACGTTTATGGTTTAAATCTTACTTTGCAGCCTCCGTCACTTAGATCTGAAAGCCCTGTTTACCATAGACAGCAGTGACGGTACATGCTCAAAATGGCTACTGGACTGAAATCTTGTTCTCTGCCTTATAGAGTAAAGCTATGGCAATATTGCCTTCTCTGTCCTTTGGAGCTCCATCGCTGCACTTATAATCAGATATCTCTTGCTGAAATTTATGAGACAAAAGTAATTCAAAAAGCTTCAGGCTTTTACTTGTTGGATCAAAGGATGGCTGACAAGGTAGTGAAGATAAGTCTTTAACTTTTCAATTAGCAATGTCAGAATGTTTCATCCTTTGCTGATTAATCATTGCTTTGGACCAAGGAAATGATGCTTTATCTGAGTGAGTGAATATGGCCGTATTTAAAAGGATTCAAAGAGCTGTCTGGTCATTTAATACAGGTCATTTGTAAAGACTGAATTTAATTAGAATGTGCACTATAATTTTCAAACTATGAAAAGAATGCACCCTGGTTCTTAAAGAGAGACTGAGCTACAAATACAGGACAGGTTGCTGGATTGGCAAATCACACATATTTTAAGAATGTGGGGCAGGGACTCTTTTGGTTCCCTGCTTAGTCCAAGGCTGCCATGCCCGCGGAAGTAGGACCCAGTGTACAGCCTTTTATGTGCCATTTTCCCTGGCGTCTCGTGCACTCACTCCTTCAGTTATGTCTTATTCATTTCCAGTGCTCTTCTAGACTCAGCAAAGGGACTGCAATCTTGTGTATTGCCTGGTGTATGATATTATAGTTATCGAACACTGGTAGTGTATGATAAAGACAGGCATGAGGAGTTGGGCAGTGACAAGCTGTTTCTTTGGGCTTATAGTCACCCCTCTCTTTATTTAATGTATAGTCTCGATAAAACTTGAACAACTCCTCTGCATAATGAGAAAAGGAGAGTGTGTTTATTGAGTGCCTCAGGTGCTCGTTGTGTTGTGAACGTAACACTGTTCATAACAGGCTGCTGTGCTGGGGATTTGTAAGCTACGGTCTACACAGCCATGGCTAAATCTGTTTCATCTTACTCCTCTGAGAATCAGCTTGGTGTTTCTATTACTCTTCATGCACTTGAAGGATTTGGTGAACAAGGAATGCTGCCTCGCAGACCAGAAGCCTAGGGACAATTTCCCCCTTCAAAGGGAGATTGCTGGCAGTCCACATGTCATTGAGCATCATTTGGTCTTTTGGGGGTTTATGAAGTTTTTCAGGATATTTTAAAAATAATTTTATGGGCAACTAGTTCTTTCCAGTAAGGTTTGAACCTTAGTGAACTTTTTTTTTTATCCTTTTAAAGAAAGCACTTTAGTTTTGGGGAAAAAGAAAGGGATGATGGGAGGCCCCAAGTGCCAGGGTGATAGTCCTCAGATAAAGCACAGTCACCCCGGGAAGCCAGTGGGGCTCAGCAATTAACAGTGACCAGCAGCTGGCACCACAATCTCGTAGTGCCCACCTACGGGTTGTTCTGTTTGGGGTGTGAAGTTTGACGATTCCTCTATGTATTGCACAAAGGTAGTTGCTTGTATGCCTTTGTAAACTCAGTATTTCACTTCAAGGCTTGGTCTGGCCAGAGGAAAGAGTTACTGTGTGTGTTGCTTTTACAGATTCAAATATTGACCTCAAAGTGTGTCGTGCTTTTAGAAAATGATAAAGCCTCTTTTTACTTTGAAAACAACTAGCGTTGCATAAATTATGCTGACATTGACGGTTTATGCCATGCATATTATGTTGAGATTTCTAAGGAATTAATTAATTTGTGTATGTTACAAAGTAGGAGGCGTTTTTAATTTCAGCTTGGGTATAGTTTCACCATAAAACAGCATGGCCATTCTACTCACCATACTGTGATACATACAGTTGTGCAAAATGTGTTTTCAAAATAACCTTCTGCTGATGCCTTGTTTGCTGGGTTGGGGCATAGCTTTAAGCATAGGTGCTACAAAGTCTAAATAAAATTGTTCTGCCTTCATGCTGCCACTGTTGATGATCAGTCTGGCAGAGCTTTACTCTGAGGAATAGTGCTTCCTACAATAGCTCAGCGCCACGTTAATATTCTGATGTCACTTTTGGCCTGAAAGTTAGGAGCCGATATATTATTGGAAGGAGGAAAAAAGTTAGGAAATACATCCCAGCTAACATAACACTTTCAGGTTTTTACTGTAGCTCTGCAAATTCCGGTTTATTTGACTTTCTTCTCTGCATGAATCGCCTGAAATACCAAACAAAATCTGCATGTCTGTGTACTCTTTTATGCTTTCACAGAGTTCTCAATTCATTCTCTCTTGTCTCTCTCTGTTTCTCTCTTCTCTCTCCGTTTTTCTTTTTGGTGGGGCACCCTGAATCTCTCAAGCAGTGCAGGAGGCCGAACAGGAAGATGTAAAGGTGGTAGTGGATGCCCAAGCTCCGAAACCAACTAAAAAAACCAAGGCAGCAGCTGCAAGCTGTCAGACTGGCAGCACCAGAAAAGAGAAAAAAGGGAAACACAAAGGTTAGCTGCATGCGGCTGAATGTCAGATGTTGAACTGACTGCAAAATACTTCTTTTTCTTCTTCTTTTTTTTTTTAATTTCTTTGAATTTCTGAAGATTGCCTAAAGTAATTTCTTGACATTTTTCTAAGACTGGAAAATGCGAGTGGCTTGGTCTTGTCTCGTCATATACAACCTGGGATTGAAGGAGGGCTAACATTTGTAAACTGAGTCTTTTCCAAAGGAGTGTTTGCTCAAATATCAGAAGAGGAAAAACGTACTGATGAAGGATGCTGTTGTCTTCCTGCAGTGCTAAAGAAATGAGAACCATTTTACACCAATGTGGGGTTTTTTTAGACTGTCTGCATGTAATGTAATTTGGAGAAACAGCCTTAAATTGCAGTCATTTCTGTCCAGATTCTTACTGAGGTTTAAACTATACAAATCAGAGGTTAATTGATTTTGAAAATCAATTCAACAAAACTGAGATAACACCCTCAAAGGGGTCCTTCAGGTTGTTACTTCAGTGTTACTCTATCCCATCTGGTCGACGTATGGGAGGTGTTTGTTTGAAAGACTTTCTGCAGTGACTTTGGGTAAGATTAGGTAGACAAAAAATACGCTATTGATAATGACAAAAGGGTGGGTAGCAATACCATTGCCACTATTAGATTTACTATTTGAGCTACGTAGCCTAGATAGAAGAAGTAACTTAAGCTACTTTAGAGGTACTAAAATCTTATTTTTATATATATATAGTATATGCACACTCACAAAGAGAGAGAGGGTTTTGTACCACATACAGTTTCTTTTTATTTGATGGTGAATGACTAATGACATTAATAAATACCTTTCCAATAATTTGCAGTTCTTGGGTAAGGCCACTGTAACACTATCCTGCCTGGACTCTACTGTGTTCCTGTCTTGTGTATGTCCAACAGTCTCTCCATTATTGCTTAAGTAAGAAAATGGTGTATATCCTTGACAAGTCTATTTAAAGATAGAAATGCCTAATAAGGGTAATTATTGAGGTCAGAGTATTGGGACTTATCTATAGGGGGTTTGCAAGACTTGAGGCTACCTTATCAAAATCCTTTACACATCCTTTACATATTGCAGCTTAATTCTTGAGACCTGCATCTACAGCATCTCTATGTCTGTAGTCCCTCTGGCTGCAAAAGAAGCCCTAGGTTAGGCAGGCTTTAGGGTCTGGTACTGAGGTAAAGACTTCATTCATATATTTGAAAAAAAGACGGCGTGTGTCAATACCTAGGCTTAAAATAATAAGTGAAAGTCAAAGGTAAAATCAACTGAATGTAAAAATTGTTGGCAAAATAAGTATCCAGAAAGCTAATATTTCTTAATTTAATGTAAAAAGTAATGCAACTCCAGCATAGTAATACAGATGCCAAATTTTATTTTGAAGTACATCTTGCTGAAGACTAAAAATTCTTTTACTAGTTTAAAAGAAAACCTGTCTTAGGCTGTAGCTGAGCACTGTGCAGGGTAGTACTTAAATCATCATAATCTTGAGGCTCTGTTTCACCTCATCTAATACCTGTTTTGCCTTTTTGGGGTGTCTATGTCTGTACCATGCTCAGAACCTAGGACCTTGTGCTGCTCAGTTACAGCAGGTTTGGTTTGACCAACCTGCGTTGCATGACACCAATGTCTGTATACAGTCCCAAGTTTTCTGCTGCAATTCTTATTGCTCATCCTGCTATGCTATGCATGGTCTTCCCTGGCCTTCAGCATTTGCCCATCAGTTGCATCTTAAGTATGATTCCATAGAGTGGAGGTGTTATTCATCAATTCTACTACCAAAAATTTTGAGTACCTCCTCCCCTGAGGTTTATGTTGATGATCAGTAACAAATCTCAAGTAACAAACATCCCTGTCAGCTAAAGTACGTTCACTGTACACATCGTACCTTCTCATCCAGCTCATCTGCTGTTCCTGCACACTGGTATCTAACTGTCCATTCGTGTGTCATTTCATCCTAGGAATCCTATCTAGTTTACCTCTGATGGTGGTGTAAGCTTGGAATGTTTGCAGGGGATTATAACTGGATTTCCAGTCTTGTGTCCTTATCGAAGCTGCAAAATGTTTTGTTACTGGATGGAAAAGTAAAACTGAATGCAACTTTAAAATTCTGGAGGTATTTTACTGATCAATTCACTACAGACTTAGCTAATTTGTGTTACTTAGGAATGAAGAAAATGGAAGTGGTAGCAGAACCCTGTGGAACTTGTATCAATTTTTCAGTTACTTTGAAGAGTAAGTGTAAGTCTTAAGAAAAGATTTTATAATAATATTGAATGGTTTTGCTAATAACTTCAGATCTAACTAATGAAAATGGATGCAGGTTAAATGGTTTTATACCATTTTGTGGCATAAGAGATTTTGTTGGAGGAAGTTCCTTGATAATTAGACAAAATCTTGAAAGTTTTAGGTTCTGCTTTTAGCTTTGCAATTGCTTCAGGTTTTGTCTCCACCGACTACTCTGACTGTAACCTTTGCATGTCCTTTAAACGAGCGGGATGAATGCTGAGGGGTGAATGCACTTTACATGCTAAAATAGCATTTTAAAGGTTTCTGTTAGTATTTAGCTATAGGGAGCATTATCTTTCTAAGCATAGCCAAGCTCTTTGTGCTTTAAGAAGTAATAAACTTTAGACCAGACCCTATGAATAATAAGCTAATTCAGAGCAAAAATTGTTGCATTATACATGAATAGCTCTTGAAGCTGTAGTGTAGTGATTGTACTCTGGTCTTAGATATGTAATGCTTTTTTAAGTGGCTCGAAGAATGATGAAACTCTGATCAGAACAATGCCCTAAAGGCAAATGCAAGGGAAATATTAGGTTGAATGAGGTTACACTGACATAAGGCAAGCAAAGGAATGTGGCTAATTGCTCGTGTCGGGCTGATTGTGCCTCTCCAGGTAGGGGTCAGTGCAGTTTGTAATTCTGTGATGGGTAGTACAGTATTAGCATTTTTTAAAAAAATCTGTGACTATTACTGGTATTTTATTCTTAATGGCAGTATGCAGTATACACTGTGCCTATTTTTAAAAAGAAACATAATTTTTTGTGGGATTGAACCTGCAAAAGCCGTAAATTGCTGACATTTTGTAGTCGCTTAACTCCTTAAACTGATATTTCTGAAAGCTTTGGTCTCCCAGTTGGTTGGCTGACATATTAACTATTGGGAAAAAAAACCAAAATGCAACAAACGAATATGTGAAATGGTTGTCCTTCCCGTGGATTAAGTTCTGGTTTGATTTGTGATACTAGTAATGGGTGATTAAAGATATTAGTGAATCTGGCATACAGTATTGCTAGATAGTTCAATGGAAAAATAATGCAAACAAGTGAAATTAGCAGCGGGAACCTATGAAAAATATGCATAGTATTACAAATACAAAACCAGAGCATTTTTAAATATCAAATACCTTGACAATTATTTAAAAATTGAGATTCCTGCAAGTCTTGTAGGTGCAAAGTGCTGTGGGGTTTTTTGTTTGGTTGGGCTTTTTCCCCCAGTATAGGTATGTGAAGAAATGAATAACTATAATGGATAAAGTGCTTTTTTGGCTATGTGCAATGAATGGGGCAAAAACAAATCAGGAAGATAAAATGGAATTTAAAAAAAACCAAAACAAAACAGAAAACTATGCAAAGCCAGGAGTTAATTCAAAGTGAAATCTGATACGAAGATTCAGGAATCATTCTGTAAAAAGTTTTTGTTGTTGGTTGGTTGGTTGGTTTTGGTTTCTTTTCCTAGCACTCTTGCACTTACAGCATGTAAGTGCATTCTAGGAAGTCCCTGCTCTGTGCTGCACTGGTTCACTCACTGCCATGGGCAATATAAATGAAGATTTTTGTCACTGAAGTCAGGAATCTGGATGTGTTTAAAATGTTCCAGTATACAATACCTTCCCAGCAATTTTTCTCTTATGTTGTACATTAAATGTATGTAGTAGGTTGGGTATTCCCTGCTGTCTTTATGAGAGTCAGAAATCAAATGAGCTGCTCTGACACACAGCTCTCTTTCTGCTGGGATGGCTACTTCATGTTTTGATTTGGTTTCCTTCTTCTGTGGGTTTGTTTTTTTTTTTCTCTCTTTCACGCCTGTCTGTCTGTTTTGATTTGTGCATCCTGTCCCACTTCTATATGTAACAAGCAACTACGTTAATGCTGGCTGACGAAGAAAGCAGCACCATTTGTTGGATAAGAAGCACAATTCTCACTATAACACTTTGTTTCTGACAGGAGAGGGAGGTTCACGTAGAGTAGATCTAGTTTGGCTTCCCTCTCCATTAAAGAGAAAGGGTGGGAGGAACAATAAGTGAGTTTCCACCAAGAAAAGTCCTGTTATTTCTAGATCTGACAACCCTTTCAGGCTGTGCTTTGGCAACACATAAAGCTGATTGTGAAAAAGTCATTCTGGCCTCCTTGGGATAGAGATTTATGAAAGTACAGTTTCTGCTACAGTTTTCTAGATTTCATCAAAATGAATGTAGAGCTTGGTGCTCAAGAACTTGCTTTTAGTGACCTGATCTGGTGTTAGCCATAGTTCTTCTTTTGATGGAAGTTTGGACTAAATCACCTCCAGAGGTCCTTTCCTAAAAAAAATTTCTATTTGCCCCCTCTCTCTGTAAACAAATCCCTTTGTTATTTTGCAGTTGCTTGAACCCATATCAGTGGATACGCAGCCCCTGTGAGAACAGGCATGTGCTGGGAAATGGCTTACAAAATATTGACAGCTACAATATATTTCAGGTTATTCAGTCCTAAAAAAGAGACAAAAAAATGCTTTTTCCCCCTTTAATCATTCTGCTTTTTTAGTAAATTCCTTTTGAGGAGAGTTTCACCCAACAGTGAGAGATATATGGAGAGTTTGGGTTTTTTTAAAGCCATGAAGTTCTGAATTTCTAATCTAATTTTGTGATATTTCATTCTAGCCATTTTATTAGAGCTTCCTAAGCAATCATTCTGAGAAAGAACCTTTTTCACTTAT